AGAAAGTTTATTACATTATAAATAGGAGATAGAAAATCAATGACTGAAAATGGGCTAAAGTGAAGCATCAAAATATCTATTACACATTACTACAAAAATGTACATGTATTGGGTCTAAAAAATAGACACCAGAACTACACCAGGTAAAATGTACACAATCACAAAAGTGTTCTGTACATGAATACGCAGTAAGATCATCATAAACAGCAGATGAGCAACACTGCTTTACTGAATCAGTGTGTGTGTATAGTGTGTATATAAAGCAGGAAAGAGGGGAGTTCAGAGGATTTTTCAATCAGCAAGGAATCATAAATATGATGCAATATACATTTTGGGTGAATTTTGGGAGCAGAAGGAATGTCCCAACCACGACGAAAGCTGTGGGTTTAGATCACCTGTGTTAAAAGTACCTGGAATGGTTCAATAAGCGGTCAGTGTTAATATGGCCTGTGCCTGTTCTTTGTCTGAAAGAAGACTTCAAATATGATACTATAATCATTAACAAGAAATTATAAATATCAGATTTAGTGACAGAGAATAAGGATTCCTAATAACACAATGAAAAAAAAATGCAATAACAATGTTCATCATCCAGAAGAAAATGTGATATAATTATCCTTTATTATCATAAACTTCACATAAAACATGTAACCCTGTCATTAACAACACAGGAAGACTTTAAAGTAAGACGCAACCAGCCAAGACCAACCTGTGAAATGTGCCCTGAGTTGGTAAAGGTAGGTCATGACTGCCAGCTTATCAGGGACGGTGAGGATGACCATATCTTGAGGCTCAATCAGGCGTGTCACCCCAAGGAACTCCCCTGCTTCAAATGCCTTTTTGCAGTTGCCTTTGACATCTTGTGGGGTGAGGCTCTCATAGTCTCTGTTCAGACAAAGGAACTCTGTTAGAATTTTGGAGTTACCAATCGCACTAGTTCTTAAAAGGAGAAACAATCATATTGATAAACACAATAACACAGGCTTCAGGCTATAGGAAAAATAGAGATTCATTCCTTTGGCAGATACATGCACACATATATTTGTAAACACAAAAATCTTCAGACCACAAAAAAAAAAGAATAATTCATTACATATGAATGTCTTGAATGGCCAAAATTTTCTCCTTCAAATGTCTAAACTATTATTAAAGGCCACAAACTTCAAAGAGCAAGTTCCTAAAAAGTGACAATCTAACTTAGTTCCAACAAGTTCTGTCATGATAGAGACAACAACCCCATCTATCATTTGAGATAATCTGCCAACCTCACACTAATCAAAACATGATCCCAATGCCTAAGCATTGATGAAATAGAACTGACCATCTCTGACCTAAACCAGCTACAAACACATTGACAAAACTAAACTAAAAAAAAATAAAGATCAACAAATAATACAACCTAGTTGTGGTACTTTTTATAATCTAAATGCTGTATAATCTCCAATCCACACCACAAACCTCACTCTAACCTCCTAAATATCTAACTATTTCTTACATTTGCCACAATTATCTTCATCACAATGTATTCTCATTGTTCAAACAAATAATTTAAGACATGTTTCCAAACTGAAATTCTAAAAGCAAGTTTATGCCCAAGTATTTCACTATGAGGTTTCCAGACAGAGATGATTTGATTTGTGAAAAACAACCCAATATTTAGTCACACCATGAACAGAATCATGAACATGTTTTAAGAACTGTTTTTACAGTTACTGTCATTGTTATTCCTATTGTTTAAGCATTACATCTCAACCATCATGACTGAAAGTGATGGCCAGGGAGGAATAATTTAGCATTCTGGTGCCATATTTGGGCAACTCTTGGTTTGCTTCTCTCCCTCAAAAAAAAAAGAAAAGAAAAAAAAAATCTCCCTTTCTTCTTCTTGTCAAGTTGTCCCTGTCCAACTGATCTGCTATCGCCTTGAGTTCCTTCTGACTTACCTTCCTAAACTTTTCTCATTCTCTCTTTTCCTTACTTTCCCATTTTCCATCACTTCACAGCGCCGATCACCAGCAGACCTCTCTCCCTTCCTTCCCATCCTCCTCCCTTTCGCTCAAATTAAAACTCTCCAACTCTTCTCACACGACTTGATGGCTTACCGGACCAGTTCTTAACGTTTTCTATCCGCCTTAAAACTATGCGCATTCATAATCACTCATAAGTGTCGCTGCATACTTGGATCTTTTCTTACTAACCATACTACACTCACCAAATTTTAAAAAGTAAAATAATATTCCAGTTGGTCTACTCACATGAGGTCAGGTCGGAAGTGGTGTATGATGGCACAAAAAGCGAGACCGTTCCTCCAAGAGGTGGTCATGTTAGTAATCTTGACCCCTTTGTAGCCGCGTGTCACGCACTGACACCACGACAGCAGATCCTGTCCCGGCGTGCAGCCTCCGCCCTCGCTTCCTGACACACCGAGGGTTTCCCTTCCCCCTCCTCCTCCACCTCCTCCTCCTCCTCTGTCCGCTACGCCTCCTCCTTTCGATGGGCCCATCTGTAAGGGAAAATGAACATTAAACAATTCTTATCTTTTCAAGAGAACTCTGACATGGCTTAAAATATCTATATCACGGAAAACGTACCATTCAATAGTTTTTAATCACCTTTGGATTTTTCAATGACAGTCCTGATATCAAGATCGAGAAAAATATCAGAAGAAAATAATCAGAAGATAAAATAAAATTCAAAATGTAAACTGGTAACAACAAACTTAATGAAATGGGAGTAGCACATTCCGCAGACTAAACGGGTATACGGAACTGAGCTTGCCAAGTGACTGTGTATTATGTTATACAATATTTTGTACAAGAATATTTATAATACACATGTTCGTGTGTGTGTGTGTTTATAATGCATATGTGCGTTCGTGTTTACGTTTACGTTTACGTTTGCGTGAGAGAGAGAGAGAGAGAGAGAGAGAGAGAGAGAGAGAGAGAGAGAGAGAGAGAGAGAGAGAGAGAGAGAGAGAGAGAGAGAGAGAGAGAGAGAGAGAGAGAGACGCGAGTGCGTGTGCATGGGCATGTGCGTGGGTTTTATGTATATTCGTGGGAATATGCGCGCCTGTATTCGTGAGAGTTTGGTGGATGTGGATGTAGATGTGGGTGTGGATGTGGATGTGGATGTGGGTGTGGGTGTGGATGTGGATGTGGATGTGGGTGTGGGTGTGGGTGTGGGTGTGGGTGTGGGTGTGGGTGTGCGTAAGCGTGTGCGTACGTGTAGGCGTGCGCGCGCGCCCATTCCTTAATAAAACAACCTTTACAACATAATCCGTACCATACAAAGGAAACGAATTCGCCAATCCGTCTCCATACAAGCAACCTGCATCCCTAACGCAGAATTACGATTCTTTTAAAGCTTCAACCCGGTGGTGACCCTGCACACCCCCTCCCCCCCCTCCCTCGTGTCACGGCACACACATAACTCGCAAAACTGCGTACGAAACCCATTACCGACCTGGCTAAAACCGTTCCAGAGAAAAATGTAACTTTGCGAAACTGTTTCACGGGCCACACTTTAAACGCCGCTGACCGCCGTGTAATATTCGTTAAGTAAATCAGCCAGTTGACAGCTTCTAACGCACATAAACACACGCAAACACTCCTACACATAAACCCACAAACACATACACACACTACATATACACATAAACATACGCACATAATACATATACGCAAACATATACATACTGCATATACACAAACAAACACAAATTACATATACAGGAAAATGAATATACGATACGATTATCGCAAGCAATAAACAAAGGGATCTGCGAGTTAATTTCTCAAAACGAACCTAAGCGACCTACTCTCGCGCCCATGCCGCCACATCTCGACCCTTAATACCACATTACATTATGGTCCTTTTAAGGCAATGCAGCGAACGGAGACCCGCCCGTAAACCCGTAATATTTAGCGCCGCGACCCCGACTGCCCACGTGTGGCTACAGCCTAATGTGAACCAGTTTGCAGGGATATTATCGTTGTTGTTCATACTCCTTTTCGCCTCGCGGCGGCCTTATTTATCGCAGTGATTTTGAGCACGTGCGGATAAGCTGAATCTCTAAAACGTTTGTGCGTTTTGACTACTGACGTTTGCAGCTGGATGTGGATGTGGATGTGGATGTGGATGTGGATGTGGATGTGGATGTGGATGTGGATGTGGATGTGGATGTGGATGTGGATGTGGATGTGGATGTGGATGTGGATGTGGATGTGGATGTGGATGTGGATGTGGATGTGGATGTGGATGTGGATGTGGATGTGGATGTGGATGTGGATGTGGATGTGGATGTGGATGTGGATGTGGATGTGGATGTGGATGTGGATGTGGATGTGGATGTGGATGTGGATGTGGATGTGGATGTGGATGTGGATGTGGATGTGGATGTGGATGTGGATGTGGATGTGGATGTGGATGTGGATGTGGATGTGGATGTGGATGTGGATGTGGATGTGGATGTGGATGTGGATGTGGATGTGGATGTGGATGTGGATGTGGATGTGGATGTGGATGTGGATGTGGATGTGGATGTGGATGTGGATGTGGATGTGGATGTGGATGTGGATGTGGATGTGGATGTGGATGTGGATGTGGATGTGGATGTGGATGTGGATGTGGATGTGGATGTGGATGTGGATGTGGATGTGGATGTGGATGTGGATGTGGATGTGGATGTGGATGTGGATGTGGATGTGGATGTGGATGTGGATGTGGATGTGGATGTGGATGTGGATGTGGATGTGGATGTGGATGTGGATGTGGATGTGGATGTGGATGTGGATGTGGATGTGGATGTGGATGTGGATGTGGATGTGGATGTGGATGTGGATGTGGATGTGGATGTGGATGTGGATGTGGATGTGGATGTGGATGTGGATGTGGATGTGGATGTGGATGTGGATGTGGATGTGGATGTGGATGTGGATGTGGATGTGGATGTGGATGTGGATGTGGATGTGGATGTGGATGTGGATGTGGATGTGGATGTGGATGTGGATGTGGATGTGGATGTGGATGTGGATGTGGATGTGGATGTGGATGTGGATGTGGATGTGGATGTGGATGTGGATGTGGATGTGGATGTGGATGTGGATGTGGATGTGGATGTGGATGTGGATGTGGATGTGGATGTGGATGTGGATGTGGATGTGGATGTGGATGTGGATGTGGATGTGGATGTGGATGTGGATGTGGATGTGGATGTGGATGTGGATGTGGATGTGGATGTGGATGTGGATGTGGATGTGGATGTGGATGTGGATGTGGATGTGGATGTGGATGTGGATGTGGATGTGGATGTGGATGTGGATGTGGATGTGGATGTGGATGTGGATGTGGATGTGGATGTGGATGTGGATGTGGATGTGGATGTGGATGTGGATGTGGATGTGGATGTGGGTGTGGGTGTGGGTGTGGGTGTGGGTGTGGGTGTGGGTGTGGGTGTGGGTGTGGGTGTGGGTGTGGGTGTGGGTGTGGGTGTGGGTGTGGGTGTGGGTGTGGGTGTGGGTGTGGGTGTGGGTGTGGGTGTGGGTGTGGGTGTGGGTGTGGGTGTGGGTGTGGGTGTGGGTGTGGGTGTGGGTGTGGGTGTGGGTGTGGGTGTGGGTGTGGGTGTGGGTGTGGGTGTGGGTGTGGGTGTGGGTGTGGGTGTGGGTGTGGGTGTGGGTGTGGGTGTGGGTGTGGGTGTGGGTGTGGGTGTGGGTGTGGGTGTGGGTGTGGGTGTGGGTGTGGGTGTGGGTGTGGGTGTGGGTGTGGGTGTGGGTGTGGGTGTGGGTGTGGGTGTGGGTGTGGGTGTGGGTGTGGGTGTGGGTGTGGGTGTGGGTGTGGGTGTGGGTGTGGGTGTGGGTGTGGGTGTGGGTGTGGGTGTGGGTGTGGGTGTGGGTGTGGGTGTGGGTGTGGGTGTGGGTGTGGGTGTGGGTGTGGGTGTGGGTGTGGGTGTGGGTGTGGGTGTGGGTGTGGGTGTGGGTGTGGGTGTGGGTGTGGGTGTGGGTGTGGGTGTGGGTGTGGGTGTGGGTGTGGGTGTGGGTGTGGGTGTGGGTGTGGGTGTGGGTGTGGGTGTGGGTGTGGGTGTGGGTGTGGGTGTGGGTGTGGGTGTGGGTGTGGGTGTGGGTGTGGGTGTGGGTGTGGGTGTGGGTGTGGGTGTGGGTGTGGGTGTGGGTGTGGGTGTGGGTGTGGGTGTGGGTGTGGGTGTGGGTGTGGGTGTGGGTGTGGGTGTGGGTGTGGATGTGGATGTGGATGTGGATGTGGATGTGGATGTGGGTATGGGTGTGGGTGTGGGTGTGGGTGTGGATGTGGATGTGGGTGTGGGTGTGGGTGTGCGTAAGCGTGTGCGCACGTGTAGGCGTGCGCGCGCGCCCATTCCTCAATAAAACAACCTTTACAACATAATCCGTACCATACAAAGGAAACGAATTCGCCAATCCGTCTCCATACAAGCAACCTGCATCCCTAACGCAGAATTACGATTCTTTTAAAGCTTCAACCCGGTGGTGACCCTGCACACCCCCTCCCCCCCCCCCGGATTCAATATTCCTCTTTGATGGCCTATGAGTGCCTCGTAATCAAGGGTAATAATGTCGAACAACACGAGGGTTCCTGCGCAGGCAAAACACTTAGTTCGAAATGCGGTGATGTAATGCAAGAGATTTCTTTTAGAGCCGCGTAAAAAAGGGAAAAGGTTTAGGGATGGATGCAATACGTGAATTACTGACCCTCACATAAAACGGGAAGCAGAGACGCGCAGACATAGCGACAGACCTAACTCTCCTCTCTCTCCCACTTTCACTCCTCCCTCTCCTTCCTCTCCCTCTCGCACTCCCAAACAAAATAAACAAGAGAGCCCTCCATAAACAACGTTCCAGACACAGAGGCCGCGGCAGAGGGCATATCGCAGGTCCAAAGCCCAACACACTGCAGTACACAATACCACGTGTGACACAACATCGCGCCAATATCTCAACGTCGACCGATCCGGGGCTGGCGCTGCCTCACTCGCATCCGCTTCGTCCCGTTGTCATCACCTTTCATTGCCTCTCAAATTCTCTCCCCTTTTTTCCATTTATAGTCTCGCTGCTACTTTGGTTAGCTTCATTCTTTCTTTCTCTCTTCTTTCTTCCCGTCTTATATTTCTTGTTTTGTTTCACATACTCTATATTCACTTCTTTTACCCTCTGACGTTTTTTTGTTTTTTTTTTGTAACTTCTTGTTTTAGCCATTCTTACCTACCCTTTCATCCTGCCTATTCTTACTATCTTCACTTCGTCTCTATTTCCCTCTCTTGCTTCCCTCCGAATTATCTTCCCTATTCTCCCCTTTGGTGCACGCCTTATTTTTTCTCACTTTTTCACTTCCTTCCCTTCCTCTTCATACTAGCTGCATCTTCTTTTTACTCGCCAATTTCCCGTTTTCTCATCTCGTGTTATTCTCGTGTTGCTGCAACTGGTAGTATTTCTACTCTTTCCTTTTCCCTCTCCTTCCTCTTCGCTCTCCCCTCGC